AAGCCGAGGAAATCCAGCATCCAGCCAGCGCCCTGCGCAAACCCCTCCCAGGCCCGCGTCGCGCACAAGGAATTCACCGCGAGAGGCTCAGCCCCTGCTACAAGCCACCTCACCATGGGCCAAACCATTCCGGCCTCCACGCAAGGTGGCGGCGGCAAACCTCGGAGGGTGGGGCTCACACAGGGCACCATGAGTCCCAGGACCACGAGTCCCAGCCCGGTCCCGGGCACATCACAGTGCTGAGCTCCGCCTCCTGCCGCTAGCGTTCACCATTCACCGCGAGAGGCTCAGCCCCTGCTACAAGCCACCTCACCATGGGCCAAACCATTCCGGCCTCCACGCAAGGTGGCGGCGGCAAACCTCGGAGGGTGGGGCTCACACAGGGCACCATGAGTCCCAGGACCACGAGTCCCAGCCCGGTCCCGGGCACATCACAGTGCTGAGCTCCGCCTCCTGCCGCTAGCGTTCACCCCACAAGAGGTCCCTTGACACAGCAGGGACAGAGCCCAGCTCTCTACGGCCATGTCAACACTAGGAAGCTATTTCACAATTAGGAAATTTGACTTCAAGAACTCCTGATCTAGCAACATCCAACTAGCGCTGTGGTTCTCAACGGGTGGTCCATGAACTAGCGCTGTGGTTCTCAACGGGTGGTCCATGAACTAGCGCTGTGGTTCTCAACGGGTGGTCCATGAACTAGCGCTGTGGTTCTCAACGGGTGGTCCATGAACTAGCGCTGTGGTTCTCAACGGGTGGTCCATGAACTAGCGCTGTGGTTCTCAACGGGTGGTCCATGAACTAGCGCTGTGGTTCTCAACGGGTGGTCCATGGACTAGCGCTGTGGTTCTCAATGGGTGGTCCATGGTGACTTTTTCGGTGGGCCACAAGAACATTGTCCAAAGTCCACAAACATTTTTTGATTGGCCAGGTGGTCCGTGGACTGAAACGAGTTAGCGTGTCCATGCTACAGGGAAGCCTCGAAATCAGCCCGTGGCAGGCTCCGTGACTGTGGACGCGCTACCTCGGACTTGGAGCCCCAGGAAGCCCTGGGGAGCGATTCGTTCGAATGTTATTTTGACTTGGTGGCACCGGCGCGTCCACACGGCCACTATTTCGCCATCGCTATTTTGGAATTCGCGTTACTCCTGACGAAAAGCGGGAGCCCAGATTTCAAATTCCGTGTCCCGTTGGTTCGAAGTAACGGGCTTGGTCATGTGGACGCGCCGCTGATCAAGTCGAGGTTGGGGGGTTATTTCGGAATAAGGTCCAAGAGCCGACCAGGGCTAGCAGTAGCCGCGCCTCACGCATACAGACACAGCCTGTTTGAGGAACAGGCCAAGTTGGGAACTTGCTTAGCCCGGGCAAACACCACCATGCTCTCCCTCAAGCTCCTTCTCCCCCCACTGTGACCCACAGCCTGCAGCTCCATAGCACAGACTGCCTTCGCGGCAGCCCGTAGAAAGGAGCCGTGAGCCAGAGGGAAGGAAAGGTTTTGGCTTCTGTAGACCAGGCCACTCCGGGGGACAACGGAGCCCAGCAGACCTGCCAAGCGTCCCACTTCCAGCGTGGGGGACACGGTTTGGGCAGGTGTGTCACATGGCCCTGCACAGCTGGCAGAACGTGCGTTGCGGGAGAACGACACCCTCCCTGCCACGCCGCAGGGGGCGGGACCCTGAGTGCCAGGCCAAGAGCCATGCAGACCTTGGATCCACGCCCAGTGCAAGCTCTCGCTCACCCCGTTGGGGAGCGGGCGTCACCTTGCCAAAGCGGGGACACGGTTTGGGCAGGTGTGTCACATGGCCCTGCACAGCTGGCAGAACGTGCGTTGCGGGAGAACGACACCCTCCCTGCCACGCCGCAGGGGGCGGGACCCTGAGTGCCAGGCCAAGAGCCATGCAGACCTTGGATCCACGCCCAGTGCAAGCTCTCGCTCACCCCGTTGGGGAGCGGGCGTCACCTTGCCAAAGCAGCG